TCCAGCAAATTCTATTACGTGTGCAGTGTGATCCGAGATGTTTATAAAGGAAAGTGACCACATGTGATAGGTATCTCAAAGAAACATGACTTCAAAAACACTTTCCAAAGCATCTWTTGGCAACTACAAAGCAATTATCATTGCAACACTGCTGTTATTCACCCCATTCCAGGTCATTCATTGGCTTGTAAAGAACAACAACAAAAAAGTGTGAATTTCAAGGTCTTCAAAAATCCATGTGTAATGCTTAAATATCAGGATTTCTTCATTCCCAGTGCCTACAAATGGTGCACAGGCAAATGGGTCACCCAGAAGAGCTCGGGTGGGGACTTTCAGCTCGTCAGAAAATGTCAAATTACACCTTCATACTTTTGAATGATTGTACTGCACCTTACAGCCCTGGCTCCTGCCAACAACCCCCTTTGCAAATTCCCAACCTCATGAACCTTCCCCACATCTGCATGCTTCTATGCAGCYTTTCTTGCCATTCTTGTGTTTAATCTGAAGAGACTCAGATAAAACTGAGTCTTTTTCTCATGACTCTTTTTTCCCAGTGTCACAGTCACTTGCCTTTTTGCGAGCTTTCCACGCAGTACCACCATGGGAATATCTTTTCTTCTCCCAGACCAGCAGGACCATTCCCCTCTCTTGAAGAAGAGTAGCACAGATGTCCCTCATGAGCACTGACACTTGTGATAGCTGAGATAAACTGAAGCTGTCCAGGAATCCTGCAATRTACTTGAGCACTTCCACTGGGAGGCTGCTCAGCAAGTCCTTATTTCTCCCTCGACTATCCACTATGGAATTGCACTTTCCTGGCTCAGAAAGAAGGGTGTCCACCTCTGGTTTAATAGCAAATGTCTTGAGAGGCTTGCTGTAAATAACCTTGGCCTTAAGGCCCTCAGGGCGGAAGTGATTTTGAACAAAAGGACATCCCAAGTAGGAGAGTGGGCAGCGTTGCTGGAACCATCCATTCAGGCAWGACTGGATATCAGCGTGCACGTTCTTGAAGTGGGATGGGAACTCGTCCCTCCTGAAGAAATGACTGCAAGTGAAGGTGAAAGCTGAACTGCTTTTGTTGTGTCTTCTGGTCACACACTCAGTGTAGAGCTCCATGTGGAGCTCTGGTGGGCTGGTTTCATCCAGAATATCTGCTAGAGCTGCGCTGGAGGAGAAGGGCTCCAAAGGAAAGCTGTATGTCTGTGTTGCAAAATCCACAAAGAGYCCATCGATACCTCTCGCTTCGGAGATCTCATGGCCTTTCAGCTCTTTTTCCAGAGCACACAGCAGCGTGGCTTCAACTATGTTTGTCTTAGGTAGCTCTTCTAGGTTTATTCCCAGTTCTGAGGTATCCACTGACTTGTCTGAAGTTGGCATCTTGTGTCCCAGTGCATCTCCTAGCCTTGCTCTTTTGCCACAGTAACTAACTGGCACTTTGAAGGTGTAGACAGTCTTCACCTCCTGGGCTTCCAAGTTGCCATAGACAAAGTCCTTTTCTCGAGGRGTGCAAGCAGCCATCTGGCCAAAGCGGATCAGCATTCCCCCRTGATGTACCAGGTACATGTTGTAATCAGCGACACCAACTTCCTTCTTCAGCCTCTCCAGGACCCCCTCCTGCCAGGGAGCCAGTCCATTCAGTTCTCTACTCGGTGTTACCTGTTCAGACTTTTGGCTCTTTCCCTCTTCTGCACCATCAGGTCCTTCCTTTGTCTTCTGTGTGGAGCTATCAGCATGAGAGGCTGATGGTGTTTTCTTGGAAGCCTCCTCCACCTTTTGTCCTGTGCTGGTTGCTGAGCCCGTYACCTGGCAAGCCAGAAGCTCTTTGCTGAAAATGTTCTCCCAGGTTTTGTAACTCCCCAGATCCATTCCCTCTTTGTCCTTTGCCAAATTTTCCCGTTCACGTTGGCTGAGCTCAGACAACTGTTCACTGCCCTCTTGGGAACCACAGGCAGCTCCTCCCACAGCACCTGCCTCACCACCCATGGCTTCATCCATTAATTCTTCCAGTTCATCCTTTTTCCTCCACTCTGGAAATAATTCMGCTACTTTCAAAGTCCTGAAAAGTATCTTCTGATCTCTGAGTGCCAAAGCTGTGTCCAGACATTCTTCACTCAAGGTCTCTTTCATAATATTCTTGTGCAGAGTTGTGTCTGAATCCACGTTTGGCCAGCGATTCCACTCCATGGAGCAGCACACAACGCTGGCTGGACAGACCTGGAGGTGTTTCCCCAGCTTGAAACGGGCCATGGAGAAGGGACAGCCATAGGCTGAGTTGAGGCAGGACACCTGCTCCAAGGGGCAAAGTAACCTGTGCTCCTCCTCCTTGCACATGTGGAAGGTGGCCCCGCAGTGCAGGCGGCAGCTGATCACCAGGCACGACACGGAGATCTCAACGGGAGCGCGGCAGTGCCGGCTGAAACAKCGCTCACAGTGCCTGTGGTGCCCAGCGGGAGCTTTCTGGGCCCGCTGCTGCGTGGGGAAAGGACAAAAAGAGAAAAGTTATTGCCTGAAGGAGAGAGGATGGCCACAGACCCTCCATGCCTGTGCTGGGTTTCTGCACATGGGGTGCTCAGATGCACTTCTAGAGGTAAAAAGGCTGTGAGGAAGTGACTGCCAGCCCCATACAGATCACCTGGGATCCCCAGGATACAGATTGCCCTTTAGCAGCACAGATTAGTACACAAGATCCTTACTTTCTAGCCCAGCCAGCCAGGGTTCAGGAACGAGCTTATTTCTGTCCCAGTGTTTTACCAAGCTGCTGAAATCAAGACACAGTGAAGGAACATCCCACTTCCTCAACACTGAGTAGGAAAAAATTATATTCTTTTTTCCCTCTCTAGATTTGGCCTAGGCAGGTTCTCATCTCCCCACAAAGACAAAGAACGTTGCACAAATGAACCTCCCATTGCTCTACACCAGTAAGGTCAAGAGTGAGGATTATCTTCAGGACCCGAGTTCCCAGTGTGGAAACAGCCTAAGTAAAGACTAATTTCCTTGGCCTTCTTTACTCTGCTTTCCTGAGTAACCCTTATACTCCAGTTGTTGTACTACAGAACTAGAGGCTGCTCACTCACTACTTGGAGCTACTTCCCTGGATATTTTCAACCAGTATTAGTAACTTGGCCCAAAGAAGACCTGCTGCAAGCAGCAAGCTCCAGGCTTTTGACTTCCTGCTCCTTGCTATAAAAGCTGTGTTCCAGCTTGGTTCTGGAATCACTGCAAATCTTTGTGGAAGGGAAAAAGCTAATGATAAGGAGGAGCTTGAGTTTTGTTTCCAAACAGGCCGCAGGGTGCTTTTCTTTATGTGAAAATAGCAAAAAGATTTTTGACAAATCTTCCCACCTCACATTTCACGCAGTAGGAACTACCACAGGCCAAACAGMCTCTCATTTGRCTCTGAGAAAAGACAGATAAYGGTAGWAAAATAATTTAGACCTTGTTTTATTTTTCTGCAGGTCAAAGAAAACACAATAGTGCAGCTGTGCTGCAGAGGAAGTGAGCTCAGGCTCCAGGGGAAGAGATGCTACGTGAAGGTACTCTCTGAACTTTCTGTCTGTCAWACCTTCACACCCTGCCAGTGGAAGTCATGAACAACACTGGAGAAGGGAAAACTTGGAAAGGTAATGCTTGTGGGTCCCTGCACTAAAAATCCTGCACAAATGCACACAGCTGCATTTGAATTTGATGTGCAYTAGTTGCTAAGCACAACTTTGTTCCATCTTTTGCAACTTCCAACACTGATCAATACCTGCTTACACCTCTTAATGAATCAATCCCATTCCCTCTCGGCCCTGCAGAATAAAAAACCACATCTTTGGTGGTCCCTTCACTCAGAGACTAACTCACCCTATCAAGATAAGACTCAGTTACCTTCACCTTCACAGGGAAAAAGAGCTCAAGACAGCAATGCAGTAAATAATAATTTGTGACCATTAAAACATTCCCTGCCTTGCCTAGGAAAGCTTCTGCACAGAGATGACACCAGAGTGGCCTCAGCCACATCAAATCCTTAAACACTCATGGTTTGGGRTGGTTCCTGTCCAGCTTTAGGCTGTTGAGTTATATCTACTTTTATTCAGCTCAGAGAAGCAGGAGGTACAGATGGATTTATTTCACATTGGTGGCATCCTTGCTGCTCTCATTCTTGTAGCATTTYGCTGCAAATATAATCTCTAAAAATAGTCCCAGCCATGACTTGCATAAGGTCAGAGGAAGGCTGGGTACATTGCACCGCAATAAAAACATAACTGTGTGAACAATACTTTCCACTGCAAAAGTAACTCTTAGGGAGAAATAATTGATTAAAAAAACTCCCCTACATCAGAGGCATAGGGCTTTTTGTTCTCCAAAACACAGAAAAGACTGATGGCAAAATTTCTGGAGAGGAGCCTGCTTTCACACTGCTTTGCACTGAAATAAACCTCATCCAAATCATGTGTGGAGAAAGAAAATACAGCTTTGTTTATGCAAAGTGACCATATCACACCATTCAGATGCAGAATCTTCCTCATTATTCAGGCATTTTTTAGTTGAGTTTACCTCATCTCTARCTTGTATTTGCTGCTCTTTTCACACAAAAGATATCTATGCCTCTCTTCTCATTGTCAAATCTGTGAACATAGAGGACCRGAAGAAAGGACAGAGAGTTTTTTTCTGATATTTATCAGGGTCTGAATGCTCCTTCTATTCTGCCAYGCCAGTAATCAGGAGCTCTGGATTTGAATTGATGATCTAGCCAGCTCTGTGGTTTAGTTGATTGTATTATTGCAAGTACACAAACTACAAACTTTCTAAACAGCCGAAAGTTTCAAAATTTTTGCCTCTGTAGGTTTGACACATAACCAGAGGCAGGTGACACAGATATGTCAGGTGACAAAACCTTTCTCTAAATTCATGCACTTTTTGATTCCCTGCAACTCGCAACATTTCTTAAGATCTGGGTTAGGAAACAGAAAAAAATCCAACCAGAAATGAGTATTTCAATCATGTTCAAGCTACTGTGTAAAGAAAGAATGCACATTACAGTCCACAGTCTGTCCACTTTGGTAAACCTTTATTTTTAGACCATCGTGACAGCAAATCAAGTAAGGTTTAAAAATATACAGCTGCTATTTTAACTGCAGCAATGTCTGTGTCTGGAGTGGACCTGCTCAGTGATAATAACTTATTATCAGTTTCTCAACCAATTAAAATTTATTTTCAAGGAGATGTATACCTAACTCATTAATGAACCAAATAATATAAGTGTTTTCTCATTTAGTAGGTGCTATATGTGACTCATCATTTGACATATTAAGGTCATACATGGTACCTCAACTCTTTGCACAGAATCAAGGGATGCCTCCCATTTTGAAAAAAATATCAAAAAGAGCCACCAGAAACCCCAGATAATGACCCTGAAGAGTGCCTGGGAGATGAGATTGCAAATGAACATGAAACAATCTTTCTGAATTTTACAACATGCTAACAAGCYCCTAAAAATATCTCATGGAAGAAGTTCACATCTAAATACTGGAGCCAAGAATGTTAAAGTTATATATAATGTTACAACAGAAGGAATGTGAATACTTTTAGGGAAGTGTATAGGGCAGATAGGCAATGTTCTCTTTCTTTTAATCCTCGTTACCAAGTACATAGTGTTTATTTCATTTTTATCATATCGAAATCTTGAGGGGAATACAGTTAATAATTTTCTTACAGTATAAAAATGTTCATTTCAGTATACTATCTTAGATCTGATCATGTTCACAATAATGAATTTATCTTTGCAGTACTAGAGGTGCACTTGAGGCTGAAAAATACTATTGCTTCTCTTGGGCAGATGTAGAATTAAGGTTTAGAAAGATGAAAATACATAGAACTAAATATAGTATTTTATACAAATAAGTAAATATGCTTGTTAAGCATGGAAATGCTCAGATTCTGATATTTCACTTGCAGTTGTATGCTTCCTGCACAAAAACCCTATCAGAGTCAGCTGTAGAATCACATTTTCTAGAACACCCAGTAAAACTTCTCAAAGTGTTTTTCTTTTCCTTTCATGCACTGGTCTTCCTCAATCACTACTTGCTTAACAACCTTATCAAGAAATCAGGCTTGGGTCTCCTTTTGCCAAACAGATATTTTTATTCCTTAGAGCTGAGGACAAAACCACTATGCCATTGGAAACCATACCATACTGCATTTATAGATGAATCTCTGGAGCACAAGTTTTCATAAGTCCTATCCTTAGACACAAAATAAAAAAACAAATCCAAGAATGCCACCACCTGGAATCATGGGGATCTCTAAATAAGTCAAACTCCACAGCTCAACACCCAGAGCAGGGACAGTTAGAGCTTGAGTGACCCTCTTGGCACTGGACACAGTGGGTCACTGTCCTCCGTGGCACTCCTGCCCTGCATTTGCCATTCTGATCTTACACATACAGCTTGGCAGCCAAGCTTTAAATGAAGCAGGCWGTGAGTATGGTACAGCTCAGGGGAGGTGGAAAGGGAGAATAAAAACTGTATCTGAAATCTTCATCGATAACATTAATAACATTCTAATGAGCAAGAGTTACTTTTGAGGTGACCTTGAACAAGTTCATATGGATTTTATAGGGGCACTTTGATTCCAGGGTAATCCTGGTGAACTTCAAATTCTTAGTATAAGATGAGAGGAGTGATAATGTTTTCTGTGAAATAACTGACTTGTTGGATAAGCACATTGATAGAAGGATGAAGCTATGACAATTAGACAGTTACTGCCTTTATTTTCTACCTGAGGATCATCTGGCTGTGGCTCTGGTGTTTCATGCTAATAATCACTATTTCAGAGTTACTGAACAAGTTTGAATTGCTTTATACTGAAAAAAAATGGCTAAGACTTCAATGCATGCTCCTTATTTTCCTTCTGGAGCCTGTTGCTCAGGTTCTCACAGCAGCACACCAACTCCTCCTCAGCTCCCTGTACCTGACATGCAGGACTGTGGAGATCAAGAGAAGCTGTTGCACCATCCAGCCTCACCCTCTCCTGGAAAATCTGTGCTGCCCACAGACAGTAAAGTGGCATCAAAACTTGTGTGATTTTGGACTGGTGACACGGAGCTGCTCTGCTGCTCCTCACACATGGCAGGGTCCCTGTGCTGTCCTTGGTAGAGACACAGCCAAGCAAACTCTCCCTTTGCATTGGTAACTGGAAAATGGATTTGGTTGTTTGAGTTCAGCAAGTGCTTTAAAATAATAGGTCCAGTTTTGTTGCATTTTGAGAAAAAAAAAAAAAAAAAAAAAGTGGGGGGAGTGGGGATGGTCCATACCATGTTTTCTGTTTGGGGCCAGGTTCTATTTTATGCTCTGGAAACAATCTCATTAACATGCTTTTCTCAAAGGTAGAGAATCTCAAAGCTATTGATTAAGATGTAAGTCATAAAATAAAAACAAAGGAGATTCCTGAATAAAAATTGCTAAGCAGGCACAAGATTAAATGACACAGTAGTACWGTAACTCTTGTAATTCTTACTTCATCATTCATTCAGTCTAGACTGCCAAACTTTGCAGTCTCAATCTACAAAATTCATTAGATTTTAAATCTAAGCACTTTTGTTATGAGATTGCTCTTGCCTCTCTTCTGACCTTTACTGTATCTCCTTCTCTCAATTTCATAAAAATTACAGAAATTGAATTTTTGATTTATCATCTGACCTGCTGCTGAAGCTCCCATTTTACGATCAGTATCTTACTTTTTAAAAATCCTGGTTACAACGCTGCAAACTGCAGCTAATTCACTGAATATATTATGGAGGGTTTTTTTTTTGTTTGTTTTAGAATAGTATGTCACAAAAGTGCTCAGTTACCAGCTGCCTCTGTTTTAGGATGTCATTTAAGACACCTCATGATTATTCTATTTCATCTTAATTACCAAGGCTGTTTTGATGATGCCTTGATTTTCATRGCTTGCTACAGTAACCATTACATTGCATAAGGTTTGTAAAAAAAAGACTCTATTTGCAAAGCCTTACCTTGATCATAGAGTCCCTGTGCATGCACTAAACCCTTCTCTCCTGGTTGTGCTCAGCTGGGCTGAAGTGAGGTGGGTGACAGCGAACTGCTAGCAAAGAAAAAGAACATAAGGACACAGAGCAAGCCCAGGCAGAAACAACAAGTCGTTTTTGGATGTTAAAAATAAAACCTGCGCATGTGACCGTGTAGCTCAGCTTACAGATCTGTCTCTTCCACTGTATTTGTTAACACTGTCACTCCTGGAGTGATACTTCACACTCGAGAGGAGAGGAAAAGATCATGCATGAGAGGAAAAGATCAAAACCCTTCCCCAGCCCTGTATCAGCTTCCTGCTTCTCTCAGATGGAGATTTGCCCTTTACAAATTAATACCCTTGGTGTCTACAGCAATTTGTGATTCCTGATGTTGGAATTGTCACCCAAACCCATTGTCACCGATGCAGCAGCTGGCACAGACAGCAGTGCTGGGTTGCTGGTTGTCCAGGCAGGGTGGACAGAGTGGGAATGGCCCAGATTTGAGGAGCTGGGCATATCTGCCTGCTGGGGACCCCCAGGAGACCCCCCAGTTCCAGTGCCTCCACTGCACAGTGAAAAGGTGCCACCAGCCACCAAGAACAAGTTGGAGAGTACAGCACCCACCATCAGCCTTCCACAGCCAAAGCTGGGGAAGCAAAGAGCAAAGGAGAGCAGGAATGTTTTACTGCAGCATGGACCATGAAAGCATTTCAGGGTGTGCTCCATGGTGACCATTCCATACACCATGGTGACAGTGGGTACAGACAGGCCATCCATGTCACTGAGGTTCAGGGCTGCAGATGGGGCAGGTGCTGCTTCTCCCTGCTGGGTGCTCACCCCAAATAGCTGCAGACATCCCTTGTGACCCTGCTGCCATACGTGGCCACCTCTCAGTACCTCAGAAACACAGAATAACCCTTCTGCCTGTGGTGTCTCTGAGATCCTAAGTCATGATGAACTTGTTACTGTGCCTTATCTTTCCCTATCTGCGAGTCCCCAGTGACTCTCATGGCTTGRAACAGTGCAGGCAACTGTTTTCATTTTTAGGGCTGAACAAAATGTCAGTGAGTGACAACCAAGGCTTGCTGGTGCCAATTGCAATTTAGTAGAGCTAAATATGGTCAGCAGTCTGGCTCCATGGCCTTTTTTAGAAAGGGCTGTACTRTCGTGATACCATTTTCTGGCATCCCATTGCACTGGAGAAAGCAAGAGCCAGGGGGAATATGCCTAAACTCAAATYAAACCCAATCACAGCATGCTGGTTAATCTGTTTATTCTGTCCACTTCCAGCCTTCACCCCCCCAGCTCAGGGTCACTTGTCAGCCTTCAATGCTCTCGTCATCTTTTGAGCCTGTGTTTAAAAACATGCTGGGGSTGTGCTTTGCTTTTGTATGAAGAAAAATCCTCAAAGTCGTGGTTTAGGAATAAACTCTCTCCTGAGAATTAATTAAGCTGAATTAATCCAGATTGAAAAAATACTCAGGGCTTCAGAAGTTGTTCAGAAATGAAGCTACCTTCTGTCWTAATTTTACTGACACCTGATGTCAGCCTGGTCTCAGATTTCTGTGCTTTCAAACAGTTTGAACTCTGGTGGTGCTTTCTGCTGTTTCTATGCYTTCTCCATGACCACACAGATCCAGACAGCCTGGACTTGCTCCTCTCTCTCTCTCGTACACTGCCTCACAGTCTCACCTAACACAAGGGCCCAAGTTTTGCAAATCCTTGCCTGCAGGTGATGACTGTGATCCAAAAAGGCATCATTTGTGGTGGCTGTTAAGGGCAGGTTATCACAAGACATGCAGAATGAACATAGTTCACCATGCCTGAAAGTGTACTTGGTGGGGAGAAGGGAGCAGAGGAGCACAGAGATAAGAAACAGGAATTCATCCTTGTACCTGCATTGCATTATCTACACCTGAAACCAGATTATTTTACCAAAACCAGGACAACTTGAAGATCTCTGCTGCCACCCATACATGTGCTAATTTGATTCAAGGCATATCAAGGAATGCCAACCAATACCGTAACCAGACCTCCTSCTGCATTACAGATGTGCTTAAGTASKGTGCAATAAATGTGAAATCCCTGGAAAAAGAAGTGGAACTTTTTTTTTTTTTTTTTTTTTTTTTGTGTAAATGCTTTGGAAGAAACTTGAATCTATCTTACCTCGATAAGATACTTTTAATCTATCTGCTTTAATCTATTTTACCTCAATTCTATGGTAGAAATGCCACGCTTCTACATTAAGCCCTATGAAAAGTACCAATGTATATATGTACACAAATCCATGTATCAATCGATGTGGGAAAATTGGCTGAGATCTGGTAGAGGCACATGCACAAATACACATGGACACAGATTACACAGCCAGCCACACAGAGCACTTGCACACAAACCCAGCAGCTTATCCCAGCTGAGCAGGATGGAGGTGCACTGCTGAGCATCTGTGTATATATGTGTATTTATAGAAGTGTTCACACTGTTGTACAGTCTGTCTCCTTGCAGGAGTTGGGCTCAGGCACTGCCCAGGAGCTGCCCCTTGATCCCAACCTCTCCAGCCCCACAGCATCCAGTTCCCTCAAGTTCCTCACCCGGGGCAAAGTGTGAAAGTTTAATGAGAAGACAGGACAGRCTGCACTGWTCAGGTGCAAGGCATGGACAAACCATTTACATGTAGCCGGCTCATTTTATTCCTGTATATTTGTTTCTGTGTGTCTCCTAGCTCACCCTCTAATTCCTGTCCCATACACTTCCTCATGAATCCAAATGCTCCTCCCCTGAATTCAGTGATACCCCTAATCCTAAAGTTGTTCTGGGGCTGACGCTCTCCTGGGAAGGTGCTGGACAGGGTGTCCCTTTCTCCGAGTCCCCAATTTGGGTTCCATTTTTGTGCCTTTGGTGAGCTGATGGCTCCTGGGATGGGCCTGGCAGCTGCTGCTTGGGCTCCCCCTCCTGCCACCATCACCCCGCGCTCTTCTCTGGGTGTGCTTGTGCCACACAATCTGATGTAGGTGTCTGTCGCATCACACACCGTGGCTGATGGTGAATTTTCGTGCTGATTTTCCCGTGGCACAGCGCGATGGCTCCGCCGCTCGCCGCACCCGCAGTGACACCGAGCCCACCGCTCCGGGAGCTGCATTCATTAAAGTGGAACTATCAGCCGCTGTGCCATCCTGGGCGGTAACAGCTCCGGGAGAATCCCTGCCCCGTTCAGGAGAATCCCTGCCCCGTTCAGGAGAATCCCTGCCCCGTTCAGGAGAATCCCTGCCCCTTTCAGGACAATCCCTGCCCTTTTCACCGCTTCCCGTCGGCGGCGCTGGCGGGTGGCCCGTACCGGCCTAACACCGTCGTCACATTAGCGGCTGCTGCACCATCGCC